GTTAATTCAGGAACACATGGATAGGATCAAAGAAATTCGTAGAGAAGTGGATACCGAATCCGAGTCATGCTTTTAAGATGGAAAACAAATTGGAGACGACCTTGATATAGAGATTACAACCCTAAGGGTTTGCACCAAGCAACAGAGAAAATGTCTCTACTATAATAATCCAGAAGATTATTTTCGATCTGTCGTGGCCATTCCATTTCTGGACTTTTCCTCAGTGAATTATATACACGGTTTCAGAAAAAAGGATCTGGCAGCATATTCGATATGCTCTTTGTTGCCTGTCAACGTGACAAATCTTTCAACATGAAGAGTTGTCCAACGTTGCCTCAGAAATAATATTTGGGGGAGCGACCTGCCTTGTCTTTCTGTAAAAGATTTAGAGAAAGAACTCAGAGATTGGAGACGTTATTGTGTTAACATGAACAAAGAAACTTCAGACAAGCTCTGCAATCTGCTCAATCTTTTCAACTTTGTAAATGGGGACGTTTTCCTAAGCGTGAAAATCCTTCCTCACATTGGAAGTGTTTTATTAAAACAACATGTGAGGCAGAAAGATCCTTTTCTGGACTAAGACGCATCAAGAGTTACATGCGTAGTACTATGCAAGAAGACAGATTGACTGGGCTTGCACTGAAGCATCTTCACCATTCAATAGAAATTGACCAGAAGGAAATTGTACATTCATTTATCAGGCAGGGAAAACGAAATTATTTCAGTCAAGTCTCTTTAGCTAAATAATATCTCATAACCGAAAACATCAACACATGACAAAAAGGTCTCCCGCGTGGCTCAGTGGTTCGAGCGTTTCGTTTGAGAACTCGCTCCGTGATCGGAAGGTTGTGTGTTCGAATCACGGCCGCGACTGACCTTAGTGGATAAAAAAAATAGCAACTGTTCCTTCGCCAAGTGCTCGGCACTTTGGAGTGAAAGTGGCGGCTCTTTAAAATGAGACCTTAAAAACCGAGGCCCCGTGTCAAAGTATGCGTTGGCACGATAAAAACCCTCACCCCTCAATGACCTTGAGTACTGAGTAAAAGTCTAAATTTGAGGCCCTTCACCGGTATATGGTGACGTCTCTATATGAGTGAAAAATTCTCGAACGGGACGTAAAACAACACACAATCAATCGTTTGAGAGTTGCGAACTAAAGGGTTGATTATTATATCGGGGGTTCGATTTTTGTGAAAAGGTTCGACCCCCCTGGAAAAATTTTCTGGATCCGCGCCCATGCAATATGTAAAATTAACACGATCTTACATTTTTCATATCAAATTCCAGTCTCTGTATGGATGAGCTTCTATTGTTTGTTTACTACAAAGCTATAAAATGAGAAAAGATAGATTATGATGTATCGATGTGTCAAGGTCAATTAAGGACCGGTCTCCACGTCCCGCAGTGGGATTCGAACCCTCGACGTAAGGATCAACTCCTTACCCTGTCGTTCTAGAGCAAATGCTCTAACCACTGCGCCAAGCGGGCGACTCATTCGAGTTATTCAAGTTACGAGCAATGCTTAAGCTGAAGACAGAGACAGGCATACCAAATGTAACATGATTACAATCTTCATTTTATCTGGCTCCAACTGTGCTAATTTACCCGAACAGTCTCTGTTGTCCTCCGTCTGTCTGTCGTGTATCATATGTAAACTTTTCACACTCTAGTCTTCCTCTCCTGAACAGTAAGGCAAATATCAAATGAAAAGATTTAAATAAGCTATAGGAATGAGTCTTGTCGGTGTTTTAGGAGGTATTTATTTAGGAGAAATAAGCGGCATGGATAAGCGTTATTGTCAATTGAAAATCTATTGAATATTTGGACAAAATCTAAGACGTTTTCTTGTGAAATATTCAAAGCTCTTAATCAGCCATCTACCATCAGATAGTTCCTTGACTAACAAAGGTAGAAATAAGTCCCTCTCAATTTTAATCATTCCTAAAACACTAATTTACATATCTTTCTTCTACTAAATGTGACAAATTCTTCACACATCCAGAGTGAGTTTAAGTCATAAGAAAAGTAAATTTTCGTCCACCAAAATGAAAGTTCGCTTCTTGCTTTTGAAGAGTCTGTGGTCTGACTTCAACGGTATGCACGATTAAAATAATTTTTTTTTACGTGTGCATGTTTCATAAAGTAAGCGTTTGTTTGTAAAAATGACTGAATTCTTTAACTTTTAAGAAACACCTTGTGTTTGTTTTGTTTTTGTTTGTTCTGCTGGGGTACTTAATTTCATTTTTCATGTTACTGAATCCCCCCCCCCCCATTTTAGACAATCCAATGAACATAATCATATACAGTGGCGCCTCATTTATCCGGACGCCTCTGTCCCCAACAAAATCGTCCGGATAAATGAATCGTCCGGATAATTGAATCACATCTCAAAAAGTACTCTCTAAGCATGTACATTGTATATATGCACATTCTTGTTTCAAATGTGACAACAAAGAAAAAAACTTTTAAATTATATTTTGGTTTATTGTTTTAAAGCAGTAATTGATTAAAGAAAAAAATATATTAAAATGTAATTTACACTTAAAAAAAAAATGGATGGGCAATTTTATGCTGAGACCTATTTTAATTCGCCTTCTCTTTGGCCTGTGACTTCATGTGCTGAGCAAGTTTTGATCTACAGTTGTTTTATTTAGCCATATATTATAATTATTGAAGCTCATATGATATGACAGAACTGTTCAGCATCATCATTAAAATGTTCAAATTTAAACTAACCCCGTATATTCCCCGTATATTCATTACACAGGGTTACTATAAAATTAACTGCAAGCTTACTCAAACAAAGTATTAAAAACACTCGTAAACACAAGCCATCTTCATGATTATCAATATTTTTTTTATTCTGCAGACGCTAAGTTTGAATTTCGATCATTAAAAATACCTTGATAAACGTCATCAACTTCTGTACGTAACGCCAGTTTTATATATCTTCTCTAAAGCAATGGACGTTTGTAAACGGTAGTACATTAAATAGAGATATTTCTTCAGTTATGTACCTTTCTAAACTGTCTTGTGGGGAAAAAGCGTTTCAAATACATTTACGTTTTTAGAAATGGAAAACAGTATTTTAAACTAACGCAATCAACATGATAAAGAGCATTACGAAATCGCTCGTTATTTATTGTTCATTTTATTTACAACTCTCCAAAATTCTCATGAATGTATCGATGTACATACGGTTAGCAATATGATTTTGAACAGATTAAGGTGGTATGGGATACCAAACGAAACTTCTCCTACATATTTATGTACCCAAATTAGAAGGATTTGAAATACCCCCACCTTTCAGTATATTAAAGTGTAATTTTAATATTTTTTTTATTATTTTAATGAGATATGCAAAAACGATTTTTTTTCTTGCATAATTCTTTTTTCATAAGCTTAATATTATAGGCAGGCGTTTGCTAATATAAAGTGTTTATAAAAACAAAAATGACAAGAAATATATCTTAGTATTTTTTTAATTTTCAACAAAAAATAAGCGTAAAAAACTGGGAAAACTTTATTTCTTGAAAACAGACGGATAACATTTCATGAGAGTCTACAATAAGAATGTTTCTTAATATGTTAGCAAAGTGAAATAAACAAATTGAAAATATGTATATAAATGGAAAATATAAAATGCATTTAAAATATTTTGAATTAAAAGATCCGAGCGGAAGAGTTATCCTTCTTTATTTTCCAAGGGTTGAAAAAACCTGGGTGCTATTTTAGAAATGATGAGCATTTTTTCCCAAACATAAAAAAATCGCACTTTGTAGTTTTCAACTTTGAGCGGTTTTGAAAACAATGCATGGACAATCGCTTTCCAGGACGTGTCTTGTTCAGAGCAATTGCATTCATCTGAACGTTTTGGGACTATATACAACAGCTAACTGATTTGTGACCAAACAGTTACTTCTTGAATTAAATAACAAAAAAGTCCAGCTCTGGTTAACGTGATAATTGATTGGTGATAATTCAGCACAATGTGAAGTAATCGCACTTATCCATGCCTCACCGCACACAAGGTGCTGTACAGTTACTCAAACAATTGAAATACAGCTTTTGCTTAAAAGTGTTCAAAAGCAGCAATGTTGAAACTACCTTTTACAGGGGTTTGCTTTTTTTAAATGTCCGTTGTACAATTATAAGTAAATTTATATACTTGCGATTTTTTGTCTGTTTTTACTTAAAATGCCGACTTGTGAGAACTTGCATTGAAATAGGCTTCAGAGTGTTCTTTTCAACGGTGTATCTACAAATTTTGACCCGATAATAAGCACTCATGCAAATCAAAACAATACTTCAAACGGAAATACGTCATAACGTGGAGGTATCCCATACTACCTTAATTATTATTCAATTAATGCACAGTGTAAGCTAAATATTAAAGATAAACGTGTGATTGAATTAGGGTAAACACACTCTAATTATAGACGCTATTGTTTGTAGGTCACAGGTATAACCGTCTTCAAACTGACTGCATGGCCAATGTTTTTACAACAATTAACACGAATGCAAGCCAAGTGTGAAAAAGTCGTTTCTTGAAAAATTACCGTCCGGATAAACGAGTCATTTTTCAATGAACTGTTACGTTTTGTAGTAGAAATTGACGGTCCGGATACGGAACGCGAATTTCCGGATTAATGAGACAAAATAACGTGGAAAAAATCGGTTCCCAAAAAATATCGTCCGGATGGTGAAGCGTCCGGATAAATGGCGTCCGGATAAACGCGGAGCCACTGTACGCCACTGTAAAGTTTAATTCGGGGGTCGTTAATACAGTAAAATCAGTTCAACCGAAAAGAAACAACTATTTCAATCAATCACTAAAATTTGGCTAAACATCCACAGGCATATCGAGAAAAAGTACATACAGGGTATTTTAATCCGAAACAATGAGTAGGGTGGAAAAACCGGTGGTCAACAAGGTAGGCAACATAACATTATAGGTGACGATCATTCTCTGTCGGGACTTGAAATGAGAATTCTAGAAATCCAATAATTCAATTTTATTTCAATGTCGATAATACGAAGTCGGTTTAAAAAAAAAAATAAAACCATTTACAAACCACAGAAATATAAAACTAACTCAATAACAAACAAAAACCCACAGAAATAAGAAAATTACATGTAATTAAAAAAATGAACTAAAAATCTTCATTGCAAAAAGGCAATTTTAAGAGAGAAAAAATAAGAATTCAAGTATTATACAAAAATCAAAAAAATATTCAAAGAAAGACCAGGGTTGGTATAAAGAAACAAATAGTAAAAGGCAAGAGAAGGTTGATTATATTTTTATTTTTGAAGAAAAAGGGGGGTCCTTACTACAAGTTGTGCATGAAGTGTACTTGTTTTTCTGGTAATTTTCCACTGAGTTTCTACACTTAAGCCTGAAATTGACAAAAAATAAGACACTTTGACAGATATTTGTGTAAATAACCAATCAGAAAAATGTAATGCAGTCATTTTCCCCTTAGAGCATTCGTTCATTCAAGTATAAGCTCGGAAGTTATACTTATTTGTAACTGACCTTTTTTTCTTTAAAAAAAAGGGAGGTAGTAGTAAAAAAAACCTCCATCCCTCTCTTGCCAATGCAAACATACATACAAATTCATAATGTTTAGCACCACTTTACAATGTTGTAAAACATAGTAATCACACTTAATATACACAACTCTCTGTCACACGGAATACATAGTAACCATCCTTCATACTTTGTAATTTGTAGGTGGAACTATTTATTCTATTTTCTGAAAAAAAAAACAATTTTAGTCCCCTGATACTCTGGACGTAATAACTCGTGTAAATAGTTCCCTTGTTAAAGAGCAAGAAATCCTATCTTTTGATATTGAGGTTGTTTCCTTGCTTTTTACACCCTCGTGATAAATTTTCTTCATATCCTGTCAAAACTTAAGCTCGTTTTATCCTGCTGTATCTCATACAACAGAAATTCTTTTCGTCCTATGCTGACGAGAACACGTTCCCGTCCTTTATGACTTGGTTATTAATCCTCTTCGACCTCCGTATTTAACATTTTCTGATCTGATTGGTTGCTTAGGGATCGGCTGTCCACTTCACTCTCTGCTAAATTTTCTTCTATAGGGTCTTCTAAAAACTCTTTCTCAACTGTTAAATGTTTTCTTTCGTGAGATTCATTTGAAAGTTGTGAAATCACTGATGTTTGAGTGGTTAATTGTACATAAGCGTTTGGTTGAAATGTGTCACTTCGCACAGAATGTGAAGGAGTCAAAGAACGGAATAAAAACACAAAATGAATGACACCTAAAACTAGACTGCCACTTCCCCCAAAACCGCCAAGAAGGAGAGACCAAGGAAAGGCAAACCTTCTAGTAGAATCCGTTTTCAATTTCTCTAGATTTGCATTCGCCGACACTTCCGCGGTCCAGTTGAAAATTACTGCCATCAACAGGCAAACTGCAAAAGGAAAGTTAAACCATTTTTTTGCGTGTCATGACAAATTCTGCGATATTTGCAGTAATGGTGACATCATATTCTGATCTTTTTAAATGAAATGAGAAACGTACTACAGTTAAAGAAAATGTTTCGTTCTAGTTAGAGATATTTAGGTGTGTGTTTTTTGGGTGGGAGACAACGATTAGAATAGGTTTCATCTCATAAACGGAGTATTTCACTCGATTTTGTATTTTTGATGAAAGATTTAAAATGAACATTGTACTAGCTAACATATGATAGGTATTAACTTACATGAAATTAATGAACACACAACTATAAGTAAATGTTGGCGCAGGACGTGTCTGGGTTTGCAGAGGAATGGAACACAGGAAACTGCCGATACAATGGAGGAAAGCAGAGCTATAGTTGTCAAGGCCTGCGACCAGACACGCAAAGAATATTGTATTTCTGTAAAATATGGTGGAATTATACGTTATACATCATTTGTGCATTAACATCTTAACACAAACTCAATGAAAAAAAAAAAATAGAAATTTTTAATTATTTAATATGGACTGTTGTAAGCGCTTTAGGGTTTTCCTATTGTCTGCAAGAATAATGTGACTGAAAGACTCGATTTTCATTGAAAATCGGTATTGTATGAATGCAAGATGAGCTTAGCAGGAAATTACATCCATATTCAGAGATAAAAAGAACCACGAGCAATTTTATTGACAAGATACTTAGGATTCAGCAGCTCCATTATAAACACAAGAACAGACGGTAATAAGATATTCAAACAAAGCGATCAATATTGTCCATTTCACACACCTTAAGAGCAGCAATGTGATAATGGCGTAGAAATGTAATTTTCTGTGGGATAAAAGCAGAAGATTATATAAGCAACAATCGATAAATAGAGGGACGTGTATCTGAAAACATCCGACAAATAAGACTGTGCATATTTGTGTTCGGGGGCTATGTAATGTCACTGAATAGTTAAAAGGTAATTTTTTTTTTTTAGGAATGTATTGATTTAATGTAGATAAACTAAAAATGACATTAAAATCATAGCAAAGCCAAACATCACACATCGCTATCTCCTGCTATCTTTCAGCCTGTTGGTTTTCATCATATATAAGAAAGTAAAAAAATGTTTTTATTTCCATGGTAATAGTTATTTGTGTAATAGAGTCTTTCTTGCGTATTCACTTGTAACAACAATTTATATATACGGTTAGTGAACATAGCAATGAGTCAATTACAATAAACAGGCGAAAAATGCAAGCATAACTCTTAATTGCCAACAGATGTAAATGGTACCAAACAAAATAAGTATTGCAGTAAAGTAGGTGAATAATCAATATAAAAGACTACACCTTTGTAGTTTCTGCCAGCGTCTATATCTGCCTTGTAGGTGTCTAAATGAGTGGTGGATCTACAGGCGCCGTTCTGGCACGTTACAGTGTACCACAGCCCGGTGTAGATTTCTACGCTGCTGACTTGACCAGTGTCATTGTCAGTTACAAAGTCAGTCATTACGACCCAGGCATGTGTGCTGAAAGCTATAGTCTGGAAGAGAGTCGACAAACAGGCCAGCCCCAAGGACAGAATACAGAAAAGTGGACTCATTATGAACCTATTAGTTGCAGTGTTGTGCTCGTCTACCATTCTACTGATCTTAGTTCATGGCCCTGAAAATGGATACATGCATACATGAAATTGACATGTTGGCAACGTTGGCAAGGAAACATACAGCATTAATCAGACTCACAAGGATGATATTTATATACTATAATGTTTACAACAGAAAATGAACACTTACTTATCTGAAAATAAAACAGGCCTCGTATGCATTCATAACTGAATCTTTAAAATAAAATGTGAAGATAATGAACATGCAGTGATCATTCTCAAAAGTCCATTTAAAAACAATACAAATTATGAGCAGAGCCAACACGGACCTCTGAAAACAGGTGGGATCGGGTGCCATGGAGGAGTAAGCATCCACTGTCGACGTCACACCCGCCGTGTGCTCCTTATCATGATCGGGTAAACGGAAAAACCCGTTGACAAGTTTAAAGATAATGGACTAACAATTTGAAGTCAACATTTGATTTGACGACAGATTGTATTTGCAGACAAGGTAATTTTATCGACCATAGAATTTGCAAAATCTTAATTGTAAACGAAATGTATCATCGCCTTGTCGTATGTAGAACATGGTCTTGCTTATCGAATCAATCGGGAGACATAAACTCCACATACAGATGACAATGGTTTTTTACTACATTATTAGGGAAGTTGACGATTGAAAAGCTGCAAGTAGTCAGCCTCTTTTTCTCATAAAAATTAAATCTACCCCGTGTTTTTTTTAGCATACTACACACAAAATTTTGAAAGATTTTAAGATGAATTAAATATCAATTTTAACTGTTAACACGTTTTATTACTTCCGTACGTGCTCATCATTTTAATTCATACAAAACAAACGAATCAATCATACCATTCAATTGTTTGATTTTAGCAAATATCGTGGGGTACACAATTCATCAAACAAGTTTATGTTACTGAGAACAGGATAAGCTGCAATTAATGCGACATAATTATTGTTACTAACGCTTTCATACCATGCTAGTGTCAAATCATACAAATGTTTCACGTTTTTGATGGTAATTGGTTTCTGTCTGAAGACTGTGTGTGTTACACGGAGGACCTTCAACTTGATTGGCTGTTTCAAACAATTAGGAAGATTTAAAGCATCAGTGGTGGATCCAGGGGATGGGAGGGGAGTGTGGACCCACCGATCTATGATTTTTTTAAATTGAAATTGGGAGAATTCCTATCATCCCTTTTAGCCACACTTGCCCCCCCCCCCCCATCCCCTCCCAAACAAATTCTGAATCAGCCACTGCAATACTTTACATGTATAAAGCATTTCTGGATCTTCTGCGCTTCTAGCAAACAGACTATTCTATCATTATAATAAATACCTTCTGGTCACATTTTTACAAAATTGCGCCTTTCTTCAGTTAACTTCTAGATATTTACATGGAGATACAAAAACGGGCAACCGACAGCAATAATCCATTAAATATGTATTCTTTTGAGCGTACTTATGGCCCCTATTGTCACCGTATTGAAACGATGTTATATGATTAGAACTAACTTGAATTTATACAAAATTAGTATACTTGCATTTTTATGTGAATGATTTCTATTTCAGCTTTGCTGTTGTTACGGTTTTTCTAGCCAACATTGAGATTTTATATCAATTGTTTCATTTCGCTCGCTCGACGGGGGATTCGGTTTTGAAAGCTTACAATTTATGATTTTTTAAAAAATTATTTACACAAGTTTTGTCATAACTGGCTCAGTCGTTCTGGTGGAGTATAATTATTTCAATTAGAACCAGGCAACAAAGTAAAGAATCCCATATATAGATAAAACTATCTAGTTTTAGGTTTTATTACGTTGTTAAGCAGTTTGATCTTGAATGTGACAATCTGCATAAATCCCAAAGTCTACAAACCCCATTCATTGTAATTACTATGCAACATACAGCAAGAAGTCGTCACGCACCGTCAGGTGATGAGCAAATAGCTTTATGAAAATATAAAGCTAATTCCTTATTTGTAGTTTTGTCTCGGACAAAGACATATTAGGTAATGAGGACAAATTAATTCGAACCATATATAAGCCAGTCTAAGTTTTAGAATATACCCAAGATTTACCTTGTCGCGATCAATACGGACCAGGTAAATCTTTTACAATTGTGTGCAAGAGACTAACAACACTATTGTTTGCTTCAATCACTGCCAATTGTGCAAAAATAAGAACGAAACTTACGCCAATTCCAGGGCATTTACCATGTATCACAAAGTTGTGTACCTGTGAGATGTGCCTTTCCTTCTTTCACTACTACAGAGTATTGCCATAGTGCACGCGATTGTCTTTATGAACACCATAATTAACACTGACATTTAAAAATCGGATACGGATTATTAACAAAGTCAATCCTTCTCGGGAAGTTAAAATGTTAATAAAATTAAATCAGGTCAATAAAGGCACACACGGGACAAAGAAAATTTGAAACGGTAAAACGTTAATATTGTAAACGGCACAAGTTGACAACACAGCCGATTCTCAACTGCAACAAATGACACATCAGAAACATGAATATTTTGTAGGATGCAAAATAAATGACAATTTACAATGAGTCAAAGCATATTTACCCTTTCCCTGGCGCATTCTATTTCCAAAGATGTGACAGAGTGAAAAATGTGTATAGTTATATCCTCTTCTATCAATCAGTGAGACCTCACAATACAGTGCAGTCAACTAGGATCAATTATTTAGCCGAGTTTCCCCTCTCATGTGCGCTGTAAACTGTCCCCACCTCCTCAGCACAAATGATAAAAGCCCTTCACGCTACACTGGAATTTCCATTAAAGTAATGTTATAATACCGACAATGATAGCCTCTTCCGAATGGTGGATGTCTCAAATCTGTATTTATTTTTCACAAGTTGTCGGTAATCTGAATCATTTTAAAAAATCGCACACAAAGACACTTTCTAATCACGTTTGAAACTTTATCTTGTCCAACATAGTGACAGTTATCTCGTATAACGTGTTGACCGTCTCGGGTTCTTTGAGCCTAAAAAAGGGCAAAAAGCACGATCACGATCAATAAAACCCCATACATGTCATGTTTTCTCCATCGAGAACACAGACTGTAAAATTGAGATTTCCTCCATTCGTTGCTTTTAAACAATGCAATATACCATGGAATATAAAGAGGCCTATTACAGATATTAATAATACTATATAGGGCATTTACAAAAACTTCGTGCACTACTTACTGGAACAACAATTAATTATGTCTTTCGTAGGAATGCATGATAAAGGACGGGACATTAACTATAACGACAAGTAATATCAAAAGACAGCATGATGAAAGTATTAAAAAAAAATGCAAAGAAAATATTTTTTTCCGATATAAGGGAAGTGAGCATCAGCACTCTTTGTTGCATGAGATTTTATGTGACGATCCCTTCCCCTACAGCGCAGTTAGCAAACTTGGAAACGGAGCATCCCAATGCTTACATCTAATGTAAATTCAAATGTTCTGCACAGAGATTAAAATTCTATCTTCAACACAGAAATTGCATATGACCCTCCCCCTCCAAATAAAATCAGCAGACCAAATCATGGATATAAACAATCCCCTAAAGATTCTCGACCTATTGCACAGAAACCGACATCCTTTTTGACATTCTAAAACAAGCCAATCTCAAGTAACTGCACAGGAATCAAGTTTTAGCACTTTTGTTTAATGATTTATCCAACCTTTAGTCCAAGGGCTATATAACTCAAAAAAGGCTCACTGCTTAACAAATACAATCACTCAAATATTCTTCGCAGAAGTTTGGGCGCAGAAATAAATATTTTTGATAATTTCAAGCATTTTTACATTTTAACTCGTCTCCACTCGGGACACTAAACCATGGGAAATATACGTTGTAATTTTAGAAGATGGTTAATTGCTTAGAATAAACATGTAAACAGTTTGTCATTTAAAAGTCCAGGTTCCAGAATAAAAATAGACGTTCTTTTAAAGGAACGTACTTTCAAACAAAGGGTTACCCTGATCCCCTGAGGTATGGATTTCACAAAGACAGTAAGGGATCCCCATTGCTCCAAGGGTAAAGAGAACATTTTTGAAGATTTTATAGAGTTTAGGCTTTATAACGATATTATAGATTCCACCTTTGGCCACCCATCAATGACCCAGGGGATTTGGAAAATGTAATTTTTGTAGAGGGTCCATAGCTCATTATAACCATGCAAGAAGTAATGAAGATTTTCAAAGACGTTTTTGCAGTTTCATTATACATCATCAACTTAATCCCCTTTGTAGCCTGAACCAATGATCTAAAGAAACAATTTTAGTTGAGATATCATAATTCATTATATTCCTGCAAACTGCTAAGTGCCCAGGAGTAAAGAAAGAAAAAATAAATCAAAGATATGGTGCATTTTTTCAATATGTGATCGACTTATTCCGGGGGGGGGGGGGAGGGGGCAAGAACAGGAAAACAGTTATTGTGTAGGAAGCAGTTCGTTATAATGATGCACCAGTTGGTCTGTCAAATGTCCGACAGTACAGGAAATGTGTTTAAGAATGTATTATATTTTCGAGGTTTTGACCTCATCCCTTAAAACTCGGATAGGGACCAGGAAATTTAAAATTTCTGTCCTTATTCGCCTTACTGTTATATATGGACTTTGGTCAAAATGTCTCATTCGTTTCAAAATAGGTGAAAAATTATTTTTTAATTAATTTTAATATCTATTTTTAAATCAAATTGATAAAAGATGAAAACAGATGACACTTGCTAAATGACTTCCAAGGGTGACATTAAAACATAAACTGACCGTGGTGATTCATTCTTAGGCTCATCAGACTTGTACTTATTATAGAGACATCCTTATATATGTACACGTATACATGTTTATGAGTACACCTCAAACCTTTTAATGCATTGCATCTGCACATGCTTCACATGCTATCAAAGAGGAATGTTTGACATCTTCTTTGAATGATAATACCCTATGGTATAATCACACAGACAAGAAATCTCTTTTTCTGAACATGCACCTGAGTGCAAACTCTCTCGCTTTCCCCGGGAATACAAAGGCCACAAACGGAAATTCTTTTTGCGAAGTCGACTTGATAAAATTACGGATTCTCGTTTGTTATTTGCGATCGTTATAATTTAATTAGATTTAATTAAACAATACAGTGCTTTCTTTGGTTGTTAGTATGGGAATTAATATTGCAGCTGTTGCAGACGAAATACATAACCATCGTAGGCAATTTTCCCCCTACGTAGACAAATCTAACATGGTAAAGGGGGGGGGGGTATGCGGGTGAGAGTCTATGCTAAAACATTGGATTAGGGAATTATGTATGTGTAGTGTTCCTGTGAACTAGGATTAATGAGTAGGACTTAAACTTTAGGGATAGACGTTTGAACGAGTTTCACAATATTTTCCAATTTTAGTTACCATGACAATGCCATTTATCAAATTCAAAACTGTTAAACATAATTTGTCTTAGCTTAGTCTATTAGTGCCCGTCACTAAAATCAGAAAAAAACAGAAGTAGGACGTTTTGAAAGAAAAAAAATCATACCCCCTTTTTTTGGTTGTTGTAACAATGGCACCATTTCAAAATTGAAAACCTAGAAAGAGAATTATGTATCTGTGTACTTCACTAGTCCCTAACTTTATTGAAATCAGATAAAATATGTTGTAGGGTGGTGTTTTGAAAAAAAAATTCACAGAAACTTCTAGTATGAAACTGCTAAACAGAAACATATATCTTGTGTAGACTAATTGTGCCAAGTTTTTCGCTCACCTGAGCCAACATCGCTAGACAAGTGCTTCTAATCCGTTATGTACACTCCTCACTAACCCTTGGCTTATCGTTCTATCAAAAGTCAGGATTTTTTTCTTGAAATTTGATTGGAGTTTATCTATATAGTTTGACCAATCAGAGAGCGTATTGCAAAGCTATAGTAAATGAAGGTATCTCCGTTTGCGATTTTTCTTGACTCTAGTCTTGGGAATGATTGATTGATTGATTGTATACTGTTTTACGTCCCATTCGAGAATTTTTCACTCATATAGAGACGTCACCATATACCGGTGAAGGGCTTCAAATTTTGACCTTTACTCGGCACTCAGGGCCATTGAGCAGTGAGGGATCTTTATCGTGCCAACGCCTGCCGTGACACAGACCTCGGTTTTTAAGGTCTCATCCGAAGGACCCGCAACTTTCACTTCAAAGTGCCGAGCGCATGGCGAAGGAACAGTTGCTACCTATTTTTTATCGACTTAGGTCTGTCGCGGCCGAGATTCGAACTCACGACCTCCCGATCACGGAGCGAGCGCTCTTCCGACTGAGCTACCGTGAACGGTTCTTGGGAATGAAAAGCACACGTAATCAATGATCTTTATAACATGTCATTTTATAGATAGTCTTGGTGTCATCCAGCTTTAAGCGCACACAATGTAATCCTGAATCTGTGTTGCAGATATAGACTTGCACCCAAAATAACAAATTATGAAGATTCCTATATATACCCCATGAATTCATTATCCTGTAATTTCGCGAGAAGCACCACTCTCAAAATAAAATTACTTACTTTTATTGTCATATTGCTGAAATACATGATAAAGCTCCTGATCAAAAGTCCAGTCATGATTGTCTCTAAATTAATCCAAGATGCATGGAGGATGCTTCTAGAGTGTTTCATTGTACCAGTGAAGGTTTCAGATGCTGCATTTTCATCTAAAGAATGACCAGGTTAAGGTTTTTGGAGCATGTCTCATTTCCAAGTAACTATAAGCCCTATACTGACCAAACTTGTATGGATGATACATCTAAGGATGCACACTACTGGACTTGCTTCGGATGCTGGATCTGACCTATATTTTCCAGATGAGTGACCAGGTTAAAGTTTTGGGAACAGGTCCATTACCAAGAAACTATATAGCCTATTTGAACCAAACTTGCCTGGATGATGCATCAAGGGATGAACACTCTCAAACTTGCCTCAGATGCTGGATTTGACTTGCATTTTTGAATGAGTGACTAGTTTAAAATTTTCAGATAAGTCCATTCCAAGTAACTGCAAGCCCTTTCAGACCAAAACTGCATAAATGTTGCATCAAGGGATGCACACTACTAAATAATTAGTTAATTGTTGGACTTTTCCCAACTTAAAGACAACATTCTTTGATGTGAGCTCTTTAATCTCTGATAACCTTTGTTTGAAAATGATATCCCTCCTTCAGTTTTTGTTCACTCTCATTACGAAAGGCCTATGGGTCACGACGCTCACCTAAGTTATCTCTGCCCTGATGTCTTAAGAAAAACTAAAATTTTTTATTGCCTTGAAAGATGGTATGGCTCTTCATTCGAACAAATCTGAATCCGCTTCACCCAAGGATGCTTTGTGGCAAGTTTGGTTGAAATTAGCCCAGTAGTTCTGGAGAAGAAATTCCAAATGTGAAAAGTTTACAGACAACACACGACAAACAGACTCGTACACTTTGATAAAAAAAATCAATGTGTGCAATTAGCTCAGTGTCTTTGCTAACCAATTGTTTCTGATCCGTTACACGCCTTGTAAATCCTTGTAAATCAGATACATTAATGTATTAAATTCTCTTAAATAGGAAGGGGAAGTGGGAGTATTGTACAATTTAGACTTCACAGACAAATATACACAAGTAATGTTTCAAAGATTTCATTGTTTAATAACAGCACAATATTTTTTTTTCTCACAAATGTAACAAACACTCTCTCAAATATTTCACACAATGGGGATCACAGTCTGCTTAGCTCTGTGATGAGAGCACAAACCTGGAGAAATCATTGGCAGGTTTTAGTAATGCATGATAATTAAATAATCTAAATGCACAGTGACACACTTAACAATATACAACTCAAGACTCACATCAACACTTTGAGACTCAACATTAAAAACCAAATGAACATTCAATTGTAATTACTCAAAGACTGCAAACACTTTTCATTACAAATAAGGCACTTATTACTTAAATTAATTGTGAATTATTCATTAAAAACCATACATATTTGTGAAACATCTTGTGCAAATTAAAGTTACATTTTGATGCAATGAACATTATGCAATCAGCAAACAAAAATTTTAACTCTAAACTGTAATTTACATGGGAATACATTTGCAGCATTTCATAAGCTTGAATAGTTTTTGTACTGTATAAATGATAGTCCTGTACAGTCATTAACAAACAAATTAACAGTCACACCAACTCATAAAATAAGGATACATATTGAATGAACCCAAAAAAAAGTTTCACAAAATCCAACAACTGCATCCACATGTTTTGAAAGAATGGAACATATATATCTATACATATAAAATTAATATTGATGGCAACAATGTTTCCCTGTACAACATTCATCTTCAACATATTCAAATCTGTCTTTTATGTTTGATAACCACACATTCCCTGGTTCACATATAAAATAACACACTATCTACAGTTGATGTCACCATTGCATAGAAGTCAATGACTAGAGTAGATGAAACATGAAATTAACAGGGTTATTAGCCCAAATCTACTGTACATTTCTTTTTTTTTTCAGACATGAGCAAACCAATGGTAGAAATTGCACTGAGTTATAAATAGAAATCACCTGATCAGTCTATAAAAAGCAAAAACGGAATGTTGTAGAATGGAATCAGTTGTTGGAGTAGAAGAATATTAAATATCCATAACACAATTTGCCTCTTTGAAAAAAAACAAATCATATACATGTGAAAGATCATCAGCCAAGTTTCAATCATTTACAAAACATATATGATACAACTTTAAAAATACATGCATCAATATTATAAATTTGAATATTTCCCTTTTAAAAAATCTCTCAATTATTACAATTTCTGTGATCATTTTTTTGTGTGAAGAGCTGACAAACTTCAGAGAATTTTCTTTAGAACTACAGTTGAACGTTGGTATCTAGAACTTTGATATCTCAAACACCAAGGGCATGTCAAAAACATTTTGGGTACTAAGAACCACTTCTTATTGTATTTTAACCATAGTATCTTGAACCCTCGGATATCTTGAAGTTTTTTCTTGGCCCCATCAAGTTTGACATAACAAGGTTTGACTGTATTTAAAGTGCTTATCAGGAGGGGTCAAATTGCTGAAAAACAGCACACATGAAGACTAGTATTGTCCTGGATTTAACTGGATGTGCCAGACCTCAACACAAAGTGATTTGACAAACTGAAAGACATAGGGCTTGGTACAAACAGACACTCTAATCCCTTTATTTGGTTTTATCTACAGCTAATTCGATGCAATGACACTATCATAAAAGAAAGTCCTTACTTCTTACAGGAACTTCCGAGTCTTGGTACTGATTATTTGAAACACAGCAATTTGCCAGATTTTCAGACAATATAATTTTTCAACTGCACAAACATCAGAAAGAGAACATAAAATACAAAACACTGACAGAATTCTGGAAGAGACAAATGTGCCATAAAGTGGAGCATCCCTTCTTAGTTGAACATTTTGTCCAAGAATGCCATTTCTCGAAAAATGATCTTTATGGTATTAACAAAGTAACTAAAATTCTACCGATGACTTTCATTTTCTTTTTTTAATCCAAAGGAAGCTTCTTTCACTAACCAGTTAGCATGGCTGTTTTAAGTATGAGACTAAATGTGGGCCACAGTGCTTACCTTAGTCACATTACACATGAATATGTAATGCAACATACTCAAAACCTATCACACATTTTGACCTCCACCTTTGACCCAAACTTAGGTCATCTAACATCTTTGTATTAAGTATGACCCTGAAATATCAAACTATACTATTTTTTATTGCATCCTAAACACTAGGACTGATTTGGAAAACACATACAGACAGCTTAATTAACACACAATGAAGGATAGGATAGTAACTTAATACAATCACAATCTCTTATAGAGGCTCCAATATTTTGTTATAGTCCTGGCAACTTTTGTTGCAAGGGGATTACAAAGTATAATTCTGAAGAAAACCCCCCAGAATTTCTCATCATAGCTTCTTGTACACAGTAAAAGTGCTTTTATTCTGGGAGTACATATTGAAGCAGATCTACCATAACAGTGATAATCAAACAGAACACATAATGAGCCCCAGTAGGACGTCAGCACCAATAAGAATAGAACCTTTAGAACAGCAATGGCATACTCAAGTGTTCATCATCATCCACTGGTTGGGGATGTTTTTCAGTAAAACTTTTGTCACAACCCTCAGACAGAATTGAAGTCAAGGCTTGCACACAGTTTCCTGGTATTAAACTACCTGTAAATGTAACATTTGATTAAATTGTTAATAAAGACCAAAGCATGGAACAGAAACTAAATTAGAGGTACTATGAGCGAACATTTCAAATATATTCTCTTAAACATGCTTAGATTTTATCTTAGTCTGCGCTCAGTTGTTTATACATGTAGTATAAAAATGAATATACAGGTGACACTCGGTGGCTCAAACTCTGATCTCTTGAAGTTCTTGATCTCTCGAAGTAAAATCTCAGCCCCCTTTTTTCCCTCTATACACATATAATTAAGAAATGTACTCCCAATCTCTCTAACTTCCTGTCTCCCGAAGTTCTCTATCTCTCAAACCAACACCTGGGTCCCTTTACACAGATTTCATTGTGTTTTACTCTTGATCTCTCCAATTGTTGATAGTGCATGTACCCTAATCAATTAATTCAACTAGGACTTACATGGAAAACGGTGAATGTTTCAGACTAGAGTGGATAATGGGTGTTAATTGGGTATTTAGGTGACACTTAACTGGATTGTTGTACAAGTATTGATAATTAAATAATTGGTTGATCGGTCAATTGACAAAAAAAGATGGCCATTCACGTCTGATTTTGCCTTTGCGGTCTGTGAGATGATGATTTTTTGAAAATTCAATTTAGAGGCATGTTGAAAATTTCTCATTAATTACAAACCTTCTATTTCTACTCAACCACAGTAAGGCAACCATTGCACAAAAGTCCAAACTCAATAACTAAATAGAGAAACCCAACAGTGGGTTGTAGGACCAAGTGAACAAGGGGAGATCAGGCATTCTATTCCTGTTATTGGCACCAAATACTATCTGAGCGTAGTAATAAAATCAAACAAATAAATATTGAAACTGAAAGTTTTTTTCTCTCTTATTCAATCAAGATTCTTGTTTGAAATCAAGTGAATTATCATTAAAATACCATTTAGTTTTCAACATGAATGTTTCTGGTACACATAATAATAGAACTATAATGACCGGATCTGAAAATCATGGATATCTTTCCCTTTTCGAATCTCTCGAACCCCGCTATCTCTCAAACATTTTTAAGGACCCTTGAACTTTGAGAGATCTCAAGTCAACTGTACATAGTTAACAAAGCATCAAGGTTGGAATTTGTAAACTTAATTTTTCATTTATATTGGATGAAAATTAGCAAACTTATCATTATTCTATCTTTTTTTGCATCAAATATTTGCAAAAATTAAAATAATCTGCATATGATCACTTGCCTACTATCCTCTGACCACAATCTGTTTTGAGACGAATGATTTGCATTTTGGAAGCAGATCCACCTGGCATTGCTGCTAGAACACTCTCCACCTTACTCCACACACTCAGAACTGATCCGCTTAGGATGTGGAATGTACGAGTTCTTAATCCAATCTCACAGGGGAGGCCCAAGTTTGCCTTCTTACAGCTCCCTCTCCTAAAGAAAACAATACTTTGTGAATAACAATTGTTCAAGATACTATTTTAATGTTTAGGCTTTGGCACTATCCCTAAGGTCCAAAGGGGATTAAGACCTTGTATTCAATTTATTTTTGGATTTTCTATCCCTTAAGATGCTTTTTAATATACTTTTCTGCCAATAGCCTTTATTTTGCTCGGCAGACATATACACAACAAAGCTTTATACAATGAATCATTGTGAAAACCTGCAGTTTGGGATCAACAAGTCCTGTGGCTCACTGCCCATTGCATTCTGTTTTTAGCCTGACTGACTTGATTTTATGGCCACTTGCAACAATTGGAAGTTTTATCATGTCTGATGATATACATACCAGTAAGCATGACTACAGATTTTAGCAGATAGGTTATACTGATCTTCCCACCATGGCTGAGCTATGTCAGGCAATACCTAAAATACAGACATTCAGTTTAGTTTAATACTTCAATATTACAACACATTATAATGATATTTAATCTTTAGAATATTTTCTTACTTCTTGGATAAAACTGGATGTTTCAGAATCAAATTGAAATCTGATGCAGCATAAACTGCAGGCAAAGCACAAATTTGAAACCTACTTTCTCAGCTGAGAATACATGCACAATTGAAACTGTAGATGTCATCAGATAACATACCTTTTTATATTTGCGTTTGATGTTGGAGAGAGGTTCTGGATGGAGTTGTCTCCCTGTATTAGGTCTGTAGACATTGTACAACTTTTCTCTCTTTTTGTTTGTACCAAAGAACACAGCTAGAATCACAGTTTTCTTCACATTTCTCTCCTAAAGTCAAAATTGAATCATAATTTGATTAATGATACCTATTGCAGGCAATCCTTGAACAGGGCATTTTGTATTCAGTTGAACTGCTCTATCTCGAACATTAGGTATATGTCGAAGTGATATGGCAGTCCCAACCACTTTTCCTTTATGATCTGAAACCTTGTTATTTTGAATTCCTTGATATCTTGAAGTTCAATCTTGGTCCCATAGAATTCAAAATAATGAGGTTTGACTGAAATTCCATATTAAACTTCATAATTTGCAAAGAAATCTATGCTCTACTCTTTGTATCAAATATGACCTTCTACAACTGTTCAGCAGAAATGAAGTTATAGTACTGAAATGAATTACTACTCTAAAGTTACTACAGGTGACTCTTGATCTCTCCAAGTTCAAGGGACCGTAAGAAAAGTTCTCGAGATCTGAGGGTTCGAGAGATAGAAAGTGAATAAAATCCAGAATTTTCAGTTCCGATCATCATTGTTCTACTATTATACATAACAGAAGTATATGTTTATAATGTTCATTACACGTTTTCTTTCGTATTTTACAGGTAATTCACTTGATTTCAAAAACAATGATCGTATTTTGAATAAATAAAATGATTATTTTAAGTTTCAATATTTATTTGTTTTCATTTCATGATTACATGAAACCTGAATAGCAATTGTGATTGTCTAACTGGCTCTCCCCCGGGCTTGATCGGTCCTTCACAAGATTGCTCGTAATCAGAATTCAGTTCTTTAGATAGGATTTCTTGTGCAATGTTTGCCAAACTGGGATTGTGTAGACTCTAATAATATTAAAGTTCATAACCTATGGAAAATTACTGACACGTCCCTAAATCATTTTCTCAAAATTATCATCTCGTCCAGTCAAAATAAGTTGTGAAGCGATTTGTTTCTAACATATTAATTATATCAACACTCGGACGATTCACAGGTGTAGTGTCATCTATGTACCGGTATTGTCCGGTAAACACCCAATTAACATGTCCCTCCCATCCACAGGCGGTTTGTTCCCGTTTTGCACACATTTGAATTTCAGGTATTGAAAAAATGTGTGCAAAACGGGAATTTGTTCAGGGAAGATAATTACTTAATTGCTATAGTCTATATTATAGTTGTGAATTTGGAGAAAGAGATTCTACGGAAAGAATTGGAAGTAAAAATGTTAATTATGCACTTGATATTTTGACTTAATTCTTGAAAAAATCATTTTAAAACATAAAAAAATAACACAAAACTATAATTATATTCACATGATACTAATTAGACAGGTTAATTTAAGATTGAATTTATTTACTTATTCATTTTATCTTTTTGAAATAAAGAAACATGGTGAAATGCGATAGGGATATTTGTCTGAACTACCAGTAAAATTCTCATAATGCATTCCCTTAAATATTTATTATAATGTATTGGTAAAATACAGGTAATTCCAGGTAAATCCAAGACGAAGATCAGACTATAATTGCTATCAAAACATATTTCATACCTGTTGTTCTATACCTAATTATCAAAATGTGTGCAAAACGGGAACACCCCCCCCCCCCCCCCCCCCCCCGGCATTCACTGTTATCCAGGTAAGTCCAAGCTGCATTAATTTTACGCTTGATTGACATGTATACATGCGCAATCAAAACTTTGAGAGATAGAGAGTAAACAATGAAATGTGTGTAACGGGACCCAGATTTTGGTTCGAGAGATAGAGAACTTTGAGAGATCGGGAGTTCGAGAGATCAGGAGTAAATTTGCTTCTATAGTTATATAGAGGAAAAAACAGGACTGGAGGTTCACTTCGAGAGATCGGAGTTCGAGCCATCGAGAGTCACCTGTATAAAGACTGAAAAAGACCTATGGAATATTGACTTACCATAGAAGATATGTAAAATCCATCATCCAGTCCTGTGTATTTTCTCCATATGTCATTAGCTTGTGAGAAAGACATTCCTCTTTCAACTGAGACCTGTATCAATATAGTAATTTACTATCAATCACAACTATCATCGTAGGGAACTTACAACAATTCATTCCTATCTTTGATTCATTTTTTTAAAACTGCTTTTGAATTCTGATCCTCTTGTCTAATGAAGGTCAAGTACTTTATAATTAACTTTAATTATCATAGTAATTTACAACTATTATTTGTTCATATCTTTAGTTATTTTCCTCCTAGATTTTGAATTCTGATCCTCTTTAACCAATACGAGATTTTGTGGAGTAGCTGTAAACACACTTACTGTGGTGAGCTCTGTTTTAGCTGTGTTTGCAGCAGCACTGCCCACAAAGGTTTTAGTCTCAATCTTCTTCACGCTCTCACCACCAGAACCAAGATCTGAAGGACATTATAAATCGTACAGTCATAAGCAAATGGTACAGAATTGTCTCTTATTCTATGTGAATTTGTTTCATTACTCTGTGAATCAATCTTTAAAAAAAAAAATTACCAAGAATTCCCATGTCCCATCGTCCACTTCTCTTGGCATCCAAGATAATGGCAGTCAGCGTGTCGGAGAAATATCTGAACAAAGCATTCTGAAGGGCAACTTCCATTCCAAGGATTCTATTGAGGAACTTGCTGATATTGTTGTAATCTGTCATAGAAATAATCAAATCTTCACTGTTCCATTGCAACATATATATACTATATACTTTGTATGGTCTAAATGATATGATTTGCATTAACACAAAACAAGAGACCTATGGTGTACAGAGCTGACTTGAATTGCTAAAACTTTTTTCATTTCTGACAAGTTTATGTAATGATACCTTCAAACTAACACTATGGCCATTATTCTATGTTGTGCATGTGCAGGATATATATACCAATGCTTGCATGTCAATTTGTAAGGTAATTGCTATGTTCTTGATGAAGTCTACATATTCTTGGGTACAACTTGAAATGTGTTGTGGCATCACCCTGACTGCAGTGGCCATAAAATGAACAAACCTAAATCTACCCACAAGGATGCTTGCGTGTTACTATAACAATTCATCTGGTTTTACCATGTTTTACAGGTGTAATCCATTTTCCATGAATTACCATGATGTTCAAGGTATATATAACCCAATAAACCCCAAAATATCTCAATTGTTTTTTCTTATAATTATGTTTTAGACTAGAAGAACAATTTTTTATGTTAATTCTGACTCAAAATGCCACCAAAAGTCAACAAAATACAAGTGTGTTGTGACCACATACACATTCAGATCTACAGGGCTTGATATTCTCTTAACACTATTAAATGTAAATATTCATAGGTAAATAAAAATTTCAGTGGTAGAAATCAGAAGTATTCAACACAACCATTGACAGTTAGTGTTTTTGTACACTGCATATAGTTGAAGTTGGTAATAATGGAGTCTATCAATTAACAGTAATCAGTACATACCCTTCTCCAGTAATGGGACTCCTATACGATCATCAAGGCTTATCAAACCAACACCAGCCAAACCCTTCTTCACATCTGAAACACAAATCATTTAGGGTTCTCATTCAGAAGTTTTTCAAAGTGGTTTAAATAAAATGTATTCTGTAAAAAGTTTTAAAGTCAAACTAACCTGCCATGAAGTCTCCATCATAAGTAGTAGGAATGGGAACAAGTGGAGCATCAAATCCTAACACTGACTTCATCACTGCCTCAAGCGCTGTTCTGCCATACTAAAAATAGCAACAAGTCCATGGCTCACTTTTTTTGGTCAAATGTGTATGGGAAATTGCAGCCTCTTAATATGGTATTTACCTTAAAGCTCCTGCAAGCTCAGATTAACTTCAGATTCACATTAATCATCTTTATCAGTGAATAAAGAATCATCGTAAAGATGATCATATTTTCATTAATTTTCAGCAAATACATTGTCCAGATTTACCTTGTTGTCAAAGTTAAATCTGCTCAGATCTCTGGACTCTGTAGCTCGTCTATCACCATGTGTTAGTGCTCCCTAAAAGTAGTTATTTCAACACTTTACTAAAACAATTTCATAGGAAAATGTTTAAATGCAATTTAAAAACTCAAGAAATATTGCAAGGCAATTTCTTACATTATTTTTAAACTAGTAAGATCTATACCTATCTAACACTGTCTTTTTTAAAGAAAATCCCACACAAAAATTTCTTATCAAGCTAATTTTTCCCCTCTTTTCAACCTCAAAAATAACTTACCAAACTCTCTAGCCTTTTGGAAACAGTGGAAGCAAATCTTTGTTCTCCAGCCAGTTCAGATATAAGGAACATATACTCTGGAGCATTTACTTGATTTGATCTGTGTGTGCGACCTGAAGAAAAAAGTTACAGCATTTAAATGAAGTCACTTGAAAGTCTACACAGCAAAACACATTGAATCTGCTCAAATATCCGTTTTAAACCAAATTTTCATTCAAGTTCAAGAATTATTCATAAAATTGGGAACAAACTGTGAAACTAAAATCCTCCTCCAAAACCACCTTGTATTCTTTAAAAATATTGCACACTAACAGTTAAGAGTTTACAGTGATTCATACCGAACTGCTGGATTGCTCTGTCTGCACTCCAAGGTAACTCCAGTGTAATATGGACTCGTCTCCTCTGATTTATTGCACGTCTGTCTGCTTGAAGGGATATACCAGAACTTGCTGCTTCAGAGATAATGGCCACATTCTGTACAAACAAATTGACAAAGTGGTAAAATTTTCAAATACCAGTACCTATCAGAAAAAAATCATTTACCATGAGTCAGTTTCTTAACATCACAATACTACTAGAGCTTATATTAAGACTTATATATGGATACTGTAGACGTACCTTTTCCCCATGGTATTTATTTACGCTATATATGCAGTAACAATTTTTTTTTTACAGAAATAAGTCCCAGTGCACTTAAAGTGCATTTAAGTCATATAGTGGCAATCTAAATCTGTGTAAATTTCTATCTGCTGATTGAACAGAAATTGCAATTCTGCAGAATTATGACCCGTGGAAAAAAAGTTTGTTTACATTATATATACACACATATATATTTTTAATTCACAATGCAGTACTCTTACCTTTTCTCCATCCATGAATCTTTGCTTCTCTGTGAGGTTTAGAATTTCCAGTGGTACATCAACTTCACTACGTGACTCGTACGTGATGCCATCATCAGTGTTGACAACACGACCCTTTCTGCCTGTCATCTCTGCAACACTCTCTGTCCCTCCCAGTTCATCAATCAGGTGGTCTAATGTGTTGGGTGGAAGTTTTTCTCCTACTTCCGTTAACATGTCCAATAACTCATTCTTCATGGCCACTGCCTGCTCCACAGCATCCATGCCTGTCAAATACAAGGCATATCAAAACCGTTCTTGTTCTTCACATACTTACTTTGAAATCACTAATTCTAGAAGGATTTAAATTATAATTGTTTTCATGGCATGTTCAAATTTCAAACAACTGTATCATGACTGTTTACCAACCATGAAATCAAATCCCCTTGAATCAGTTCTTTTTTTCTTAAACCACAAAAATTTGACTCCACAAAAATTTGAGTTTTTACAGTACATCTCGTGCATATTGGAAACCAAATATGAAGGAAGGGGGTCTCAGTGCACTTTCATTGCAAAATGATACTAGTAATGAGTAAATACAGTATACTGTATGTGTACTTAAAAAAGCGGGCTTCATATTTTAGCGGCTTCGGCGCAGACAATAATGTGCTAATTCATGAATACCGTTAATAAATCATTGATAAACACAATATAAGTCGCGGACGGGTGTAGCGCTAATTCATGATTACGCCAACCACTCAATACCCAGTGACTGCGCTAAATTTTGAATATGTCAATTTATGTACACGTACAGTATACAATAGAATATAAGCTGTCTCAGTATACAATAGAATATAAGCTGTCTAAGAAACACTTGTTTACTTTCCTGCCAACATGTTTTTAATACCCCCTAGTCAATTAAATTGTTTATCCATAATTTCTTCCCTCATGAAAAAAACATTTTTCATTTTAATAAATAATTTACTTACTATAAAGCGGTGAATCTCCATTTTCTGTTTCATTGGCAGTATTTGAGTTATTGACAGTGTTGACATTTTCCTTGGCCAGATTGTTTTTCTTCAGTAGACCTGCAGCAGCTAATGCTTTGTCAAACTCTGTATCCATATCAATTCCTTTGGATTTCTTTTTCTTCTTTTTATTAACATCTTTCTTCTTTGTTTTCTTACTGCTTTTTTTCAACCAAGGATCTACCAAAACATATCAAAGAATTAAATATTTCTGTTCGCTGAGCACATACATGTAACAGAAAAGCAATTATATTCAATACAGAACATTGTAAAATGTGTAACCTGCTAAAGAATAAATGTAGATGTAATAAAAAAGTCATTTACTATAGAAAAGTCTTAGTGTCATACCACAATAAGAATTTCCTTTGTTATAAAGATATTGTCTGATTTAAAAGTAGATTCTCCCCAAATTTATCTATTTAATATTTTTGTTTCAAAGATTTAAGGAAATGCACTTCTTCAAACTAGACTTTCATTTTTTTTACTTGACTTTCATGTTACAAAATTTCAATCCCTGCAGGGAATGTAGCTGAAACTTGTTATTATTGTTTTAAAAATTTATTTTTTTTGTTTGCTTCAAAATCTTAGAAATTTGATCACTAAATAACCCATGATGGGAAGGGATAGAGGCATGATATGGTAAGGACAGAAAGTCAAAGCACCTACTGGCCTGACCACTTAATGGTGGGGACATAAAAAATCAAATTACCAGTGAGCTGTATGACTGATCAGCCCTCACTGTGGCTAATCCTCAGATATAAAATCCAATGCTCTACTGAGCTAAACGGTTAATTCACTAGGTAGTGCTAGTAGGAGCATGGCCTCACTATATACAAATTCTGATACAGTTGCATTCTAATTAAAGCTCACAGGAAATCTATCAACCCATACCTTCATCACTGTCTGAATCATTTCCAAATGGATTGAAGTCATCCACATCTGAATCACTGTCATCTGAATCTTCCTGGAAGTCAAACTCCAGATCACTGATGTCAGAATCCGAATCCGAACTGTCTGAACTGCTGTTATCAGAATCGGATCCATGTTTCTTTTGTTTCTTGGATTTGTGAGTCTTCTTTTGTTCTGTATGTAAAATACATTTATTCATATGATTCGTATGGTTGAACATCACCAATAAAAAAAACAGAACATGTACCACAAATCATGCTTCACTCAAACACTGGGGATTAACAATGTGGTGTATGACAAAAAACACAGAGAAACTTGCAAAAGTTAATCAACATATGGAAATGAGATAAATGGAACATTATGGTACATGCCCAGATGTAAATGAAATCTGAAAAAAGATCTAATGCACTTTAACATTTAGGCATGAACTCTATATTAAAAGGACATAAATTTCATTTCACCGTACAAGTCACAATATCTTCATATCCAACACAAGAAATGTTTATCATTGAATATAATGTAGGATGGATAACATACTTGATCAAGATAATGCTACATATGAGATCATACTAGGGATGTCAACGAATAGTCGACTATTCGACTATCAGTCGAATGGACCGACGATCGAACAATGAAACGACATTCGAATATTATCATAATTAAATAAATACAATAAAAGAGTGATAACGTGATGGAATTCTCATCACAAAATTGAGAAACCGTCTTTCCCAAGAGACAGTCGATAATTTTCCTCAACAAAGAACAGTTGATTTTCCATGTACATATAAAAAGTACAGTGATTATAAGTGCTTCACTGCCGCGTACTGCGGGAATTATTTACCAGTAACTGCCTGTGTTCTTTTTGTAATTTGAAATCAGCCACCAATTTACTAGGCTTTGTTTGTAAAATGAAAGAAAAGGTGAGCAAGCTCACATACCCCACGCTTCCCCAAAACTCGACAATGCAACACGTAATGAATGGCACAGTGCATTTTAAATACACAGTATAATTCAAAAAAGGGGCATTACTTGCAAAAAATCATCACATCAAAACTTCTTGCATATAAGGACATTCAAATCTTTGTATGTTACAAATTTAACTGGGCTGAAGTTTCTAGATAAATAATGGAATCAAAATTTCTTGGTAATATACAAATCTATACATTATTCTGAAATACCTACAAAGTTTCAGGAAATTCAGTGCCGGAATTATGCTGACAAACTGTTATTTAAATTCCTCAGTGATTTCGATTTGTTAATGAGTGTAAGTCCATGTCCAACACATGACAGTTTACACATTTAAATAATTGATGGAAACAAAATTATGATGTAGTCATATGAATCTGTTTATATACTGTACTTATGAAATTATTTAAGGCAAAGCACACCAATTTGAATGGGGGGGGGGGGGGGGGGGGGGGGGGGGAGGGGGAGAGAACTATCGAAGATGGTGTGTGTGTGAGTGTGTGTTTGTGTTAAACCATTAATATTTTGATCTCAAAATCAATAGGGGTCTTTTAAGGTCATAAAATATTTCACATAGAATTTCATTATAAAAAGCTGATTCCAGTGGAGTTTCTTATTACCTAGCTGGAAAGTTTCTTCAATAAAAGGCAAAACTCTTAAGGCAAAAATAATGGAATCGGAATTTCCTGGTAATATGCACATCTACACACTGTGTACTAAATATCTGCAAAGTTTGTCCAAATTCTGTGCAGCGGTTTAAGAGGAGTTGTGCTGACAAACTGTTCATCTCTATATTCAAGATATGGCCAAAAACCTAAGTTGAAAAGTGCCGAAATTCCCAGAAAAAATAATGGAATCAGAATTTCCTGGTAATATGCACATCTACACACTGTGTACTAAATATCTGCAGAGATTGACCAAATTCTGTGCAGCGGTTTAAGAGGAGTTGTGCTGACAAACTGTTCATCTTTATATTGAAGATATGGCTAAAAATCTAAGTTGAAAAGTGCCGAAATTCCAAGAAAATATAAAGGAATCGGAATTTCCTGGTAATATGCACATCTATACATTGTGTGCTAAATATCTGCAAAGTCTGACCAAATTCTGTGCATTGGTTTATGAGGAGTTGTGCTGACAAACTGTTCACCTCTATATTCAAGATATGGCCAAAAACCTAAGTTGGAAAGTGCCGAAATTCCCAGAAAAATAAGGAATCGGAATTTCCTGGTAATATGCACATCTACACACTGTGTACTAAATATCTGCAAAGTTTGACCAAATTCTGTGCAGCGGTTTAAGAGGAGTTGCGCTGACAAACTGTTCATCTCCATATTCAAGATATGGCCAAAAATCTAAGTTGAAAAGTGCCGAAATTCCCAGAAAAATAATGGAATCGGAATTTCCTGGTAATATGCACATCTACACATTGTGTCCTAAATATCTGCAAAGTTTGACCAAATTCTGTGCAGCGGTTTAAGAGGAGTTGTGCTGACAAACTGTTCATCTTTATATTGAAGATATGGCCAAAAATCTAAGTTGAAAAGTGCCGAAATTCCAAGAAAATATAAAGGAATCGGAATTTCCTGGTAATATGCACATCTATACATTGTGTGCTAAATATCTGCAAAGTCTGACCAAATTCTGTGCATTGGTTTATGAGGAGTTGCGCTGACAAACTGTTCATCTCCATATTCAAGATATGGCCAAAAATCTAAGTTGAAAAGTGCCGAAATTCCGAGAAAATATAAAGGAATCGGAATTTCCTGGTAATATGCACATCTACACATTGTGTCCTAAATATCTGCAAAGTTTGACGAAATTCTGTGCAGCGGTTTATGAGGAGTTGCGCTGACAAAAAAACAGGACTGACGGACTGACTGACTGACTGACTGACACACTGACTGACTGACTGACGGACGGGTCAAAAACATTATACCTCACGCAACTTGTTGCGTGGGGTATAATTATTAATTGGACTTGATCTTATACCATGTACCAATTATTTTTTGTTATTTTAAGATTGCTCAAACGCAAGGAAGAAACCATAACTTTGACATGTTTTGACACTCCGATAATTATTAAAACAATTCGCTTATATTTTAAACTGTATAATGACATTTTGATAGCCAGAGCAAACAATAATCGAATAAGCAGTATCTAACTGTTTAACAATTTCACAAGCACTTGACGTGTGGATAGTGTGAGATTAACCCCTCCCCTAATTTACTTCATAATAAGCTTTAAAAAAATCTCCTGGCATTTTTTTCTTTGCTTGCTAAAATAAAAACTGACTGCATGCACAGATCGATTTATGAATTCTATTGACGGGGAAATCATACATTTTGGAGAATTAGGAAAAAATCATGCTATCTACGCGTTACGTTGCATAAATTTTGATGTTACTTTTTAAATTAATTTAAGTAAAAGGGCTTTCTGAATTCTAAATACATCATGTACCAGTGAAGTTTGAAATACAATTTTATTTTCTGAAAATGTTCCGAATATATTCGACTTTCGTTCGAAAAATGCAATCGAATATTCGACTAAGGAAAATAAATATTTTGACATCCCTAGATCATACCTTTCTTTCTTTTGTTGTTTTCATTTTTCTGCTGAACAGATTCTCGCTCTTTTTTCTTGCCATATATTTCTCCAAGTCCAAATATATCAAGGGTTTTCCTTCTGTCTGGAGCAGGGAAATGTTTTTCTACTAATGTTTGAAAAACTCCTCTGTAATAAGACAAAAGAAATAGCCCTTAAGTAGCAATGCTCATATGTGCACCTGTAGCTCATTTCTTCTGATGTAAATAGACAAGAATTATCCAGTGATGAAGTCAAAAAGTAACTGGTTTAGAGTATCTATATATTCATTTTAACAAGATTAAGATGCCCTGTATGAAACAATTTACAAAATGTAAAAACAGTCGAACCTTGTTGTCTCAAACTCGATGGGACCTAGCAAAATTTCTGAGATATTTAAGAATTCGTGATAGTGAGGGTAAAATAGAAAAGAGAAAAAGTGATTGGAACTTCTTGATGACTTCGACATATTCATGGTATTCAAGATAACAGTGTTTGTGATACTGAAGTTCAACTGTATATCTAATGATTTTTTGTTGTAGAGGGTACTTACTTTGCTGTGGACACAAAGTCAGTGAGTTCTCCTCCTTGTTCCTCCAACTGTTCCAGGGTTCTAGCTTCTCCTGTGGACTGCAGTCCTATCACAACACACTGAAACAATACAAAAAAGTATAATTATCACAAATAAAAACAAAGTACCTGTAAAAAAAAAAAGGCTTTTCTTTGAAACTTAGCTAACACAAATTTAAGAAAAGTGAAGTCAAGGTAAAAGGAAAAGTCAAGGTCAAAAAATGTTGATGCAATTGAATAGTTTTCATCAGCATGTATCAGCATATTAGATTTGATGAAAATATCTTAAATAATTTTTTTGAAACAGAGCTAAACACTAATTTAAGAAAAGTGAGGTCAAGGTCAAAGGGAAGGTCAAGGTCAAAAAATGTTGATGCAGTTGAATAGTTCTCATCAGTATGTATCAGCATACAAGGTTTGATAAAAATATCTTAAATAGTTATTTTGAAACTGAGCTAAAAGCAAAGTGACAGAAGCACAGATGGAAGGATGACGAACATGACAAACACTATATGCCCCGGCCATATCCATGGTGGGGCATAAAAACATGTCGATAATTATATGGTATTTCAGTTTCAACACATATATCTAAAGTTTTGATTAGTATTTCAAAATATTTTTTTATGTTTGAAAATATTTTTATCTTGGAACGTGTATGAAATCAAGATATCAATTGCATAAATTTTTGCTTTCTGTTTTATTTCCCTATTCTTTCCCTATTCACCAACTTTGATACAGGCTATAGCAATTGAGTACCAGTAATTATCTTACCTGGACAAATTTCTATTATGTACAATTTTTTCTACCCAAGATTATGAAGTGTGAGCAAAACAGGAACTAACCTATGCAAGATCATGTTCCCCTGCTTTAAATGTATGACCAAAGCAGTGTTTACAATTACCTTTTTTTTAATAAACATCACTCAAAAACCCTCTTCATTAAGTCAATAACTATATCATTTGCCTCAGTGTCTTGCTCAATGCCATACCTTGCCAGTTTTGATCGCCTCACGTGCTAACTCCACACAGTGGTTGACTTTGGCTGATATACAGAGGTATTTAAAAAACCTCTGATGAGCCGACCAGAATTGTCCCCACATGCTTTTCTTCATCCTCTGTTCAGCATCCATCAACTCGGCAGCCCTGCTGAACCGTTCTCGTGCCGTCACCCACTACAAACATACGTACAGGATAAGCTAATTGTAACCCAAATTACTAAGGAAATCTCTGTTTTAATGTTTTATATTTATTACACTTCTTCATTGATCACTAAATTTAATGATCTGGTTCAACCAGGTCAACTGGAATTGAGTAAAAGTGGTGAAAGTCCACTATGTAGTGCAGGCCTCTAAGTGGCCTATAAAATTTAGGCGCCGGCTGTCGCCTTATCCAAAAAATTTAGTCGCCAATGCAAATTTTTATTCCCCAGGCAAGTTTTTTAAGGCGCTATAGGGACCCATGACGTGACTAAGAAAACAGACATGTCCATTGATAAACATGATTTTTTCTTCATTTAAATTTCTTTTCGCTTTTTCAGAAAAAATGTCAAAAATGTTAAAATTTTCAGGAATTTGACAATCACCAAGTCAATTCAAAATGGTCGTCAATTTGGCAACTTATGGAAAATTTTTAGGCGCTAATCAAAAATTTTAGGTGCCATGGCGACTAAATTAGTCGCCAATTAGAGCCGTGTAGCCATACAATTTTCACACTTTTGAATTGGGGGAAAAAACATGAAAGCACACAATGCAACTGTACCATTTTCACACTGTCATTGTAGACCTTGATAAAGTCCTTGGCAAGTGGAATTTCCTCTATTTTGAATGTGACACCTTTAAAGCTCAGCTGCCTGGCAATATACATTCCTCTCAGCTTCATATCCATGGCAACCAATTCCATAGCACCTACCCCCCTAGAAGATACAAGAACATGTGGTCCCAGTATTCATGAAAAATCAGTAATATGAATAGATAACAAAAAAAAATTGTCCAATCGGATTTAAGTCTGATAAATCATTTCAAATTTATCTTACACAAGCTGAATCTCCTGACTACTGAATCAATACTATTCTGTATTTTTGACAAACTTGCCAAAAATGTACCTTTTTTCCACTGCCTGGATAAAATCATTGAACTCCGGGAAAGGTGTGCCTGGTCCCCATAAGCCTAGCCGTGTCATGTAGGCCATGTTCTTTGGTTCTGAGGCACCAGTAGCACTAGCATACACAATCCTGGCATTGGGAAGACGATTCTGCAGTTCCAGGACAGTCTGGCCTGTCTTTGTTGGTTTACTAGAGCCCACAGGACACAGATTCTTAGCTTTATGGCACTCATCAAATACAATCTTATCATTATTAAGGACAATTTTATATAGTGTAAAATAAATCCTAACTGTACCTAAAGAGGCCATTCCCTACAGATACTAGTTTCAAACAAAACTTAAGTAACAGTTGATGTAAAAACTTATATCTAT